CTGAAGTAAAATAAATACTGTGTGTGTGTGTGTGTGTGTGTGTGTGTGTGTGTGTCCGTACAGGAAACGGCTGGAGCCCCTCCTGGATGACAAATCCTTCCACCAGGTGAGTCAGAACCTGTCGCCCCTCAGGCCACGCCCTCGGTTCCCACGGGCTGCTCAGCGATTGGCTGAAGCTTTCCGACTCGTCTCCTGATTGGCCGAGGGGCTCTGTCTCGGTCGCGGCCCGGTGCTGCTGCGACTCGTCTGCGACCATTTTGTCGACCTTCTCCGTCTCGTGCTGCGATAGGTTGAGGTCGGTCGGCCGGGCGGCCTGAGCAGGGAGGAGGGGAGGAGGGTTTTCTGCTGACGGGGTGATGAAGGGCGAGGAGGGGGGAGACTGAGAGGAGAGGCTGGACAACGCTGGGAGGAGCAAAGACAAAGAGCAGATTTAGATCTGTGAGTTTAGGCACACTGCGCTGTCTGTCATGGTTTAAGACACCTATTTCGTCTCCATGCTTGATCTCTTTCCTGTTTCATGACAATGTCCATGTGCAGCACTAAAATGAATGAATGCACAGAGCCCTGACCTCAACCCAATCCAACACCTTTGGGATGAACTGGAACCCCGACTGTGAGCCAGACCTGATCACAGGTCAGGTCCCAGTGACTCGAACCAGCAGCAAAAGTCACTTAAACCTTGTTCCGTTATCCTCCTTTGATAACTCAGTACCTGTGTTAGTTTCCGATCACCTGCTTTTAAACCTGCTTCTCTGGAAAAAGTGCTTTGATCTCTGTTCTGTACACATTGTGCTGTTTTAACTCCGTCTAACTGTATTGTTCTTTGCATTAGCTGTATGTATGTTTTTACTCGTCGTAGCGACTTGCCTCCTGACGCTGACTCTTGGCCAGGTCGTCATAGTAAATGAGAATTGGTTCTTAGTTGACTTATCTGGTTAAATAAAGCTAAAACAAAGAAGAAGGGACCCCAGTGATGATGTCTTTTGGAGTTTGTTTTTAAGAGAAATATCAATTAATATCGTAATTCGGGTATTTGGTGTATTGTATCTTTAGGCTATATGGCCCAGCCCTTTCTACTCCTGTGACTTTTGTTGTCACATTTGTTGTAAACAGGATGTCTACACTGTGAGAAAATGTCTGCAGGGGTTTTGCAGGAGAGCAGAGTCCTTTTCTTGTTTTGTGCTGGAAGATAATCTCACACAGCTTTACCACCAATGTGACCTGATGGATCCTAAATATGACCTTCACTCTCCCAAAGTCCCTCTTTGCTTCTGTGACAGAAAGAAAGTGGATGTTGTCTTTGTTTGCACCAAGAACGCTGCAACATATTTTTCAAACTGGGGCATGAAACGTTAATCTTTAGGACCATCAGCCGTACAGTGGAGAGTGGAAACAGTTGGTGTGTGTGTGTGTACAGATGTGTGGTTAAAGGTACCTGACTGGTTGTCGGACTGTGTTGACATGTTCTCACAGAAGTCCTCCTGGCTGACCGGCTGGAGGTCCCGATGAGACTCTGGTAGCCTCTGACTTTGGACAGAGACCTCCGGGACCGGAGCTGGTACTGGTGCTGTTACTGGGACTGAAGCAGGGGTTTGGACTGGATCTGAGGCTGAATTGAGGTCCAGGATGGGTTTTGGTTCCACGCTGGAGTCTTTAACGGGCGTTGGAGTAGGATCCGCGTTCTGATTGGTAGGGAGAACCTGAGTGCTCAGGTTCTCAGACTGGTCCATAGCGGTCTCGCCTTCCTCTTCCTCCTCCATCTTTTTCTCCTCCACCCTTTCCACCCTCTCTCTGTCACTCTGACCTTCCTCTGTCACTTCCATTTGCTCTTCCTCTCTGACTGTTTCGACTTCTGGTTCCTTCTGACTGACGAGGCTTCCTTCCTTCTCAGCTGAAAGCCTCTGTTTCTCCTCCTTTACTTTCTCTCTTTGGTCATCTTTCTCCACCTTCAGGTCCTTACCGACACTCCCTTCATCTCTGATTCCTTGTCTCACCCCTCGCCCTCTCTCCCGCTGCTCTTCGCTCTCCTTCGGCTCTCCTTTCTGCGTCAGAGTTTGTGTTTGAGTACCGGCCTGACTCGGAGGGGATGCTGGACTCAGGAGGGACGGAGGCGAGGGCAGAGGAGAGGTGGTTTTTGGCATTGTGGGGTTTAAAGGAAGAGGAAGCACATCTTCACCGCCCAGAGTCCTCTTTGATTGGCTGGACAGCTCAGGCGACTCTACAACCGGAGGCGCCGATTGCACAGTGTGGGTGTACGAGCTAGATTGCGACTGGCGGCCCGAAGAGAGGGCGATGATTTGTAGCTGCCTCGCCGCAGAGGGCGAGCGCTCGAAATGGGAGGAGACAGACATGGGGTTGGTCACAGATAATGAGCTGTGCTGGGATTGGCCGGGCCCGAGCATAGTTTGAGTTAACGGACAGCTCTTTAGTCCAGCCAGTGGCCGGCTGATGGGAGAGGTGTGACTGGCAGGAGCAGCAGCGATTGGTTGGAGGGATGAGGTTTGCCTTGGCGACGCCGCTCGGTGACCGTTGGGAGAGTGAAGTCTGGGTCTCAGAGGGACGGCTCGAACTGGAGAGTAAAGAGCTGCAGGAAGAGAAGAAAATAAGTAAATATTAAGAAGGTGGAACCGAAAAATGTTCGGTTTGTCTTTTAATTGGCCAGTTAATTAACAGATGAATTATTTCAACTCTTGACTAAATGCTAAGGTGTTCATCTGTAATGATGCTCCAACAGCTGGATCCCGCAGTGTTAGAGATGAAACCCCCAGCTGCTCCGGTGTAATCTGCTCTGAGATAAACACTAAAACACCTGGGGCTTCACTGACAGCCCCCAGGGAGAAACTCTGATTCAAGGTGTTGACATTAAGCTTCTTAAATTCTCCTAATGTTCATTTCATGCCTGTTGCTTCATCCTTGTTTTCTCTTTGTTCAAACAACTCAGAAAGTCAGTACCCAAGGCTTTGATTGCTCTGGGTGAGCGTTGACCTCCAGGCTAGACTTTTTTTAGAGCGAGGAAAAGGGCCCCTCATAAGCTCTGTTAACAAATGTTGACGTGGTTATTGCAAAATTCAGGACTGTGAACAGAGCAACTGCCTGTACTTTGGACTCTTCACAGGTTGCATGTTGTGATCAGTTCCTCAAAGTGACTTCTTTCTAGGATTGGATTATTGGAAGATAGAGAGGGAACACAATGAAAACTGTGTCTGTTCGTCTAGACGATATGTTGTAAATTTGAGGTGATTTTTATATCTACCTTTTCCTAAAAGCATGAAACTTGCTGATCGACATCACGTGTGTTCTGTGTTATCATGTTTGACTCAGGAGATATGATGCAAAATGCATCATTCAGCAGTTATGGCAGGAAGTAAAACTGAACTGAAACTGACAACCCAATTATGAGTCAGATCGCTGCACAACACAAATACCCCGGTGAATAGCTGTATTTATATAGTACGAATGGATCAGGTTACCTGAGGAAGACGTCGCTGGCAAAACCTGCGTCTGTCTGTACTCTTCATTATTATTTTCTGCTTCAATAAACCTTCAATCATCAACCTTAATAACAGTTTGTTGCTGCTTATAAAAGCGTAATTTCCACTGAAGAGAGAACGAACATGTTGCATCTCCCTAACTTTACAGAATCCTGTTTTTGTTCCTGTCTGACAATACATACAAGACACTTGCTCACAAAAGATTATATAATTTACCACTAGTCCCAGTATTGACACATTTTCCCAGTTTTATTCCTCCTTTTTTAAGGTTAATGATGAAGTAACTCAGGTTCATTACAGGTAGGTGGTGGTCAGGGTTTATGGGACGCTGTTCTCACCACAGCAGCTGCAGCGTCTCCAGTGATACTACAGTTTTCCTGTAGGTTTACGCAGGTGATCTGAGTGAGGGGTTAACATATATTATTTCCATCTTCCAGGTGTTTCCATGACTGGAAAACTAGTCTCTAAGTTTCCAGGTTTTCCATGTTTTTTAGAACTTTTAGTTAAGTATCAGTAACTAAACAAACTTGACTAAAGTAATTTTTTTTTTTTTCTTCCCCCATTATCACACCAGGCTCAGTTTCCTTCTGGGACCTACTTGGAGGAGGGACGGAGAGGTGGCGGTTGGGCGTTGTCGGGCTCTCTGTTGCTGTGGTGCTGGGCTGCGGTCGCGGTCTTAGCGGTGGGAAGAGGGGGGCGTGGGGGCGAGAGAGGGGAGGCGGTGCTGAGGAGGGGGGCTTGAGGCGGAGGGAGGGAGGGATGGTGAGAGCCCCGGGGGGAGGTGGCCTCAGGGTGAGACTCTGGAGCTGGAAAGGAGAGGGGAGACAGAAAGAGAGATGTTCAGTTAGATCTCGACTTTAAGAATTTGATTCAAGGTGTTCAAGCATTGACCGCTCGCTAAACCCCTCCCCCAAGAAGTGATTCGGTCTGTCACATGTTGACACGCTGTACGCGGAGCTGTAGCAAGAGAGGTCCATTCATAAAGAGTTACAGTAAAAGGCTGTAAGCTGTAGCTTTATATTTAGTTAGCTTCATCTAACTCGACATTGATGGAACAGCAACTGGACGGGGGCGGGACTTAGTGAACGGTCAATTCAACATCATACATGCACACACACGACAGGTGGGATTTGCTTGGCTGCTCACCTGAGCGGAGGCGGGGTTAGAGGAAGGGGGAGAGGAAGAGGAGGAGGAGGAAGAAGAGGACAAGGCAGGTCGCATAGCAGACGTAAGAATCAGCTGCAGGAAGAAAAGGACAGAATAAACAGGAGGAAATAAAAAGAGGAGAGCAGGGATTAAAGCACACAGTCTCGAGCGCTGGAGGAGAATATGTTTGTGTGACTCATTCGACCTCTACACTGAATAATATTCCCTTTCTTTACCTCTTCTTCACTTTATGTTTTTTATTGCGGAAACATCTGAGGGTCAAACTTATTTTAAAACCAACAATAACACCTCACAAATATATAGTGTTGTGTACAAATTTATTTAATTAAATTCCTAAAACGGCTGCTCACTGTAGTTTTTATCAAATGTTCCAGACTATTTTCAGTGGTGGATCAATACAATAATCAAATAATTATTCATGTTTAATAATGTTTTACCACATTAAGAAACATCTGCAACATTTATATTTTTGTTTTATGTGACAAAAAGTCATAGTAATAAAATCACCTGCACATTAAAAACTCTTTAACTTTAATATACATTTATACCACAGGTACCATAGTTTGAGAAATAGTGTGTTAGTAGATCAATTAATTATTGATTTTGGTCTTTTCATGTGATTTGTTGATGATAAGAAAAATATTGCCAAACTTTTTTTTTTTGACTTTTGACTTAACAGATTGAATAGTTTTTAATGTTTTGTGTGTGATATGACAATGTATACCATTAAACACTAAACATTTTGTGAGATTTTGTGACACCGTTTATCACTAATAAGGAGTTTTAAATCTTTCCATCAATTTGTTTCTTATTTGTCAGATATTCAATTCATCAACTCTTTTTTATTATCAAGTATAATATTTATTGTTGATGTTTTTCCATTTAATTTAACTTCCCCTTTATAATCCTGTTTTGTGAAGAACTTTCTCTGCTTAAAAAGTACAATAAAAAAGCATACTTTTCTTCTATTATCATCATTACATTAATGTTTTAGATTATGTTCTTTAACTTAATTAGACGGTGCATCTCTGACACACGGTGCATTTAAATAACAAACATTATTACTATATTATTATACACTGATCCACCTGTCGATGTTTCTTCACGTTTCTGGTCTGTTGCTTAAAACCTGAGCTGCAAGCAGAAAGCTTACAGCGTCTGTATTTCCTACATAACTAGAATGTATCATCCCTCCAACCTTTTCCACTCCCTGCTACTATCTCATTTTAATACTGGTAATCTTCTCTGCTCCCTGTGCTGTACGTTGCTAGCAGCAGCCAACCGCATTAGACGTAGAAATCTATGTAAATGTGGGTTTGTGTGTGTATCTGTTTACCATCTGAGCTCTAAGCAGCACCTGGTCTTGGCCAGACCCTTTGAGACCTTTCCCTAGGAGCAATGTCTGCTGGGATACCCTCTGCCTGACAGGGGAGGGGCTCTGATTGGCTCGCACAAGACCAGGTGTGCCCACAGGATGAGCCTGTGATACC